AAAAAAAAAAAAAAAAAAAAAAAAAGCTCTTTTTGGCACTTAGTCTTGCAAAAGGTGGTTAAAATTAGAGTTGTTCGCGTTTTATTATTATTTTTTCCACGCTTTCCCCTTATGTGAGAATTTTTCTTCATGTCTATATCCTCCTAGAGTCAACGATTTTTGTATCCAAATTAATTCTTAGCTTTTTTTGTGAAGCATGTATTGACTAACAATTTTTGGTATTAGTAAGATTCAGTAGGTATGATCGCGTTCTTCAATCATTTCTCGGGATTCAATTGTAATTAAAGAGTTTCGAACTTTATTCGTCTGTTTTCTTGCGTCTCACTGCATTATACATTGAGTTATGCAACATGTACACCCAATTTTTTACGTAATCTTTTATCTACACTCACAATAGGGTGTGGGGACCACACACGTGAGAGTTTTTTATTCACGCGGATCCCGCCATGTAAGAGGGTGTCACATTTTCGGTAACCCACATTCTGTACAAATATAATTATCCTTGTACATTAAGCCCCTGTTTGGTGAGGATTGAAACTAGATTTTTAACAGATTTTGATAAAAGCTGATGAAATATTTAGTTGAATAGTCATGAATACTATAAAATATGTAATTAAAATTAATTGTTGACTTTGACTTAAATAAAAAATTTAATTTTAATTTCTACCGCATAGGGGCTAAGTATCATTGTATATGCCTTTAAATATATAAATTCATGATATATAGCTGGATATTGATTAAAAGTCTCTTTTGAATATGCCTTGCCGAAATATAAAGTTTCTTGAGCTGTATACCAAAACCAGAATATTAAGCAACCTCCAAATTCCATTTAGTATTTTGTTTCAAATGCCTATAAGAAGCCTAAGCCCTCTTTGCAGTTTGCACATATAATCTATCTACATACTGTAACTATATAGTACTTAATTGAGATACTTCACAATGTATACTACGGATGTTCAGTACAGACATCAAAGGGCAGCTACACAAGTGTCCATTTTGGCACACTTTTTCGGCGTAATCGCAATCGTGCTCATGCTCGTTTGGTTGTTGCATTACCGTGGGGGTCTCGACCTCGACTCAGATGATCCCAATCTTATTTTCAATGTATGTACATCATTATAGTCGCAAACTAATTCTTGTGCGAATCGAAATGTTCAACTCCAGCCATCCATTTCTTACATTTTCGATTTTGTAGGTTCACCCTTTTCTCATGTTCTTCGGGTTTATTTTCATGGCAGGTCAAGGTATGTCTTTTTTTCCTTGGAAGCTTCGATTAATACCTAGTCATATGCTAATGAGTTGAGATTTGTTGTCCCTTTTTTGGTCGATTTATCAAGAGCAGCAATGATGGCATATAAGACAGTAAGAGCAGAAAGAAAAGTTCAGAAATTTGTGCATGCATTTTTTCATTCTGTAGCATTATGTCTGGGGATTGTTGGATTACATGCTGCTTTCAAGTTTCATGAGAGAAGCAATATTCCCAACTTGTATAGCTTACATTCATGGATTGGCATTACCACATTCTCCTTGTTTTGCTTGCAGGTATGTAATTAATTAATTAAAAAATCGATCGGGTTGAAGTTATGGGTGTGCACGATTTTGATCACCGAACTTAATCTTCATACGAAAATTCCATTGTACTTTTAATTTCTTATTTCGTTTTGTCGTTATACTCAACTCGTCTTTGAAACTCGCACGCGGTGAATGAAAATCCTATTGAAATGATCTAGGTCGTTATGTTAGAATAATCGACCCTGTTTTTGCAATTCACAAAAAATCAGAGTATAGTGACTAACTAGGTAAGAAATAGAAAGTCGAGTGATAATTTTGCTCAGCGACCAAAATTGGAGCGCCGAAGCAGGTTTTTAACCCTGAAAGTTAATTATAAGCTGCTGCTTATTTTCATGTGATTAATTGAGTTCAATTTTGCAGTGGCTGTTTGGGATTACTTTATTTCTTTTTCCAAGTGGTTCTGATTACACAAGAAGAAGAGCAGCTCCATGGCACGTATCTGGGGGAAGGGCACTATTGTATATGGCAATATGCACAGCATTGTCAGGGCTAATGGAGAAAGTAACATTCTTGGAATTGCAGCGTCAGAGGGAAGCTCGTTTAATCAACTTTCTTGGATTGTCAATTCTTATATTCGGTATCGCTGTCGATATTTCTGTTGTTTTCACACGTTTTATATGATTTATAAATAAATGATTCCGTGTAATATATAAATAAATACTCGACCCGACTTGGGAGAACTAAATATAAATTTGATATTTTATTTATTTTTATAAAAGTGTTGAATTTTATTTTCTCCAATTGTGTGGCTATTTCAAAGAATAATATTGTGTTGTGTCTATTAAAGGATTTGTTTTCCTTTTGAACCAAGCATAACACGTGTCACATGGACATAACACGACAAATATTATGTTAGATATTTTTCATCATTTTGCATGTGTTATTTTTTATTTTGCGAATGTTTTGCCGTCCTGACTAGTATTTGCCACTACGCAACGGGGATCGACCTGCCCAGTCGGTCGCGGGGGTCGAAGGGGCATCGCCCCCAAAAGAGAATTTTATTTTCAGAAGACTTTGAATAGGTATGTTTCATCCAACAGATGCGTCCATTTATTTCAAGGGACATACCTATTCAAAAGGTTGCCTC